GCAGAGATATAAAAAGCATGTTTAAAGAAGAAGGACCTCTAAGCCATCTTAGAAGAGAATCACTGCATGGAAACAGATAATGATGGTGAGAGAAGGGAAAGGCAATGCAGCAGCTGCAATAGCCAATTTTTCCCACAGATAAAATATCAGACAGAATGACACTGATGGGCTTCAGGCTGTAGCTGACTTTTAATGGAACCTTTCCTGATTGGTACACTTCAGAGTAAAATCAAGTTCAACAACAAAGCCTTAACTCTTGTCACAGAAGTCTGTGCATTAGAAACTGGGTTAATCACAACTCTGAAATAAAGATTCTTTCATTGTGTAGCTCATCTCAAGAAAGGATGTATCAATTACAAAACTTTCCTTCCTCACACATCTGAAATGTGTAAGTTGAGAAATAATTACTTGGATTTATACTACCCAATGGAGTAGAACAGGACTACTTTGCTCAGTATTTTCACTACCATTTGGAATAAAATTTTTGGTAATGGGTGTTGTTAGTATTCAGGAGTAGGTTGCTATGGAGTATTCTAGTTTGTCCTATTGTACATATAAAACTGAACAAATACAGTAAGGCCAAATTGAACATTTCATAGAATGCAGATAAGTGTGGATTTGATGGTTGCTAATAGCAATTTCTTAATATAGTCTCTCACTTTGCTATGGCAAACCTGCAATTCTTGGGCCAGGCAGATGCAGAATGTATCAAATTAGTACCTTAGGGCAAGGAATACAATGGGATGTTTCATTATAAACTCAGGGAAGCAAATTGCATCCTTGACATACTCTGCTTCCAGACATTGCTGAGGCAATTGATAATTCTTTACGTCTCATGTGAGGATCACCAGAAGAAATCTCTGGAACTAGTCATTAATCAAACAAAAGCATAACACAGAGCTAAAATTTTCGAAATGGTGCCAAAAGCGTTTGTGGAAATTTGTAATGACAACTGATGAGAAACTCAATGCCTAGAGGGAGGGAGGGTTGTGGCTTTCCTCTGGTTTCATTTAGGTTTTTTAAATTTTGTTTTTTACTGATTGCTACAGAATTGTTACAGGGAAAATCTTCCAGTCAAGCCTTTGTAGAAAATAAAATCCATTTTACAAACAGTTTCTATTATACTGGCAATTTTCCTGTAGTTACAGAGAATGAGATTTATCCATTCCAACAATAGGTTTCCAACTAAAGAAGAAAACCAAAATATAAGGCAACAGAATGGGTCTGGAATAGAGTAGGGTGGGATGAGCCACAATCAGAATGCACTTGGCAAGAGAAAAAGGTATTAAATTGGCTTTAAAACACAAAGGAGAATGTCCCAGATAGTAGGGCAAAAGGCAAAAAATAGGAGAGAAAAAATGAATGAAGAAACTCTGGTAGATAGCAACGACTGCCTGGGTCTAATTAGCCTTAGCTAAAATGGGAGAAATATATTCTAACAAGCCCTTGTGAATCAGCTGGCAGGTGAAAGACCTCACTTCACTCGTTCCTGCCATAAAGTGATATATTTTGCACATTTTGTACACTGCCTAGAGAAACAGGGCTAGCTATGGGACACTACAACATGAAAAAAGACAGTTGCAGTAATCAAGGCCATTAGCCTCAGATTTCCCTATGCTACCAAACCTGGATCCTTACTGTTCCAACAACCCAGACAGATACAGTCTTCAAGGCACTAATACTTACTCTGATGATACTCCCTAGTCTTTTCTTTTTAATTCCAAGTTAATTCAGGTAAATTCATCCTTAAAGTTTTCATGCTGCAGTGTCAGCTACAGTGCTTTTTCTCTTCCCACTGATTTTACCAGGGCTGGCATTCAAAGCCTAATTTCAAATTACGGTGACAGCTTCGGATAATGCAAAGTGTCATTTTTGCACCAGCTCTATCATTGAGATAAAAAGATAATTATCTGCCAATCCACTGGAAATCCTCCCACTTCAGTGATTTATATGTGCCAGACAATTTTGAAATTCATGTTACAAAGAGCTCCTTAAAAAAAAGAGACTACCTCATAAGAAAAACAATTGGTGACATCCTGCCTAGTGAAGCTCAACAAGTTCCTGTAATGGAATTCCCATTTACACCCACACCAGTCTGGTGACTCAACTGCACTGGTGGAAACAAGAATTTCTTTCTACACATCAACCAGCACTTACAGGCAAAGACTCTCACACATTCCTGGATGCTCCAATCCAAACCCTGATGTGCAGACAGACACAACCAGAGATGATTTATGGATCACACTAGAGTCAGGGTAGGCACACAGATAAATCAGTCCTGGTAGGACAGCACCAGTTCCAGGTACTTTGCCACTTCTTTCCAGGGAAATGAAAGACAAAAGCCACAAAAGTTTACACTAGGTGTTCAGGCAAAACTGAACTCATATGGTATTAAAGCGACTGAGATGAAGAAAAGAACAAGAACATTCAAACATTTAACTCTCAGGAGCACATTTAGATAATTTAGAGGAATCATGACCTAAAGCATCATGCTTAGGTGTATTTTCTCCATGCATCTATTGGATAAGAAACGTTAGCATTACGGTCATAAGGACAATGAATGTATGCTAATACCTTTGTTTCCATGCCAAACCATCCATCTGGTCTCTGCTCAGAATTCTGTCACACTCCTTTCTTTTCACTTTGTCCTATGCTATATTTAAGTCAAAAATACAAAACTATGCATTAGCACATACATGTAATTTATGATCTAGACTCTCAGAGTTAATAAAATTCACAATAACAGAGAGAGAATGACTTTGAATACTAAGTTTCCAATTGTTCGAGATGTAGCACTGCTTTCTTGTGTTTGTTGTGTTATTGTGTTGCATTAGCAACCTCTTCATAACAAGAAAAGACAAAGCATTTGAATTAATTACCTCATCATCAGGGGGGAAAAGAATTTCATTTTTTAATGCATAGTTCATTCATCTGCTAACACACGAGACACTAATATTGCCTCATGCTGATATATCACTAGCACCACCATGCCTGATAAGTTACCTACTAGTCATCATTACTACTGGATTTAGGTTTCATTATTTTATTATAAAGATGCCTACAAAGTCTTTTTTATTATCACTTGCTGCTTCAAATATGGGAACAGAAGTTTGCATTAGAAGTTTTTGGGAGATTAGTAATCAGACTTCCTGCACTCACCATGAAATTTATGTGATATATTTATAAATTTACACTAGATGTGTGTAAGTGCTTCCTGCCTGTTGTCTGAGAGTGAATGCTGCAACATGAGTCATAATTATTAAGGCCATAGTTTATGATATTCTACTTTTCCTTTTGGTCAGCAGAAGTACTTTAGAAAGGCCCTGCTGGGGTAATTCATCTGTATTTATACAGATGAAATGACCAGCCTGCTTCAGGGATTGTCTCCTCTTCTAGTTTCTAGGAGAACATTTATGATTGGATCAGTTAGAACTGAGGACAGATGAAAAGACCTGATAATGGGCCTTTTTCCCCAAAACACCTACAAAAGGAACCTTCATAGTGGGGCATTCTCAGCTGCCCTTGTACATGTGCAACTTAAATGGCCATTTATTGTCACAAGACAAATGCTTATCTCCTCAGCCCCAGAGAATGTCATTATGTGTGTGAAACTACAGCTATCAGTATATATGAAATACATTCACATATTCATGGCATCTTCAAGATAAAGTGCTCAGACACTCTTAAGTACAGCTTCATTGCATCCAGCAGACAGTCCTACCATGATGATGAAGTGATTACACACCATTATGTTTGAAGCATAGTAAATATTTTGTTCTCCCTATGAGTCCGTTATTCTTTTGCACATATCAAAAAACTGATGTTAAACCAAAAGCACATCCTGAATTAATGGCGATATTCAGCTCTTAACTCAGATGCACAATTGCTTTCCAAAGAAGTAGCTTCTCATAATCCAGTCCCATGAGGCTCGAATCTAACCCAGTTACAGTACTGAAACCTTTTCCCTTTTCAGTGTCAGCACAAAGAAAGCTGGGGACTAGCTCCTACTCCATGCTCTGGCAGCTTTAATACTGGCCTAAGTAGGTTACTGAGGGTTACTTTTGGCACTGCTTGGGAAACTTAACTGATGTCAAGCCAATGTACCCCACATTCTGCCAACTGCTTCTTGTTCTCTTCTAAATCAAGGAAGTACCATTAAAAGTGCCAGGGAGAAAGCTGAGGACTGGGATAAAGCACATTATGCTCTAGCGACCTGTGTAAGCACAAGGGATCCACAGGGAGCACTTACAGACCAGAACAACCTGGAGTAGCTACTGCAATTTGTTCTGGGCACCATATAGAGATGCCATTGTCTCCTCCAAGACTGTGCCAAATACTCTGGCAAATCTTGACATTTTGTCCTTAAGTCACTGTTTGCAGAAAAATTCCTAAATGTTGTGTTTGCCTTCCTGCCTCCATCCATCCATCCATCCATCCATCCATCCATCCATCCATCCATCCATTCATCCCTCAAAACTTTATCTGAAATCCCTTTCACCCTGTGGAACCACAAACAACTTTAAGTGAGTATTTAGCTTATACCCTACACCAGCCTGAGCTTTCCAGAAGTCAGAGATCTGCAAAACCTCAGCTTCCCTTACTGCTATGAAATTTTGGAAATAGGGCACTGTTACAAAATATTGTCAATACATTACAGGTGAAAGAAGGTTTTTTTGGATCATATTTCCTTTCCCATCTGATATTGAAGAACTTTTTTCCACTCTGAACTCTTAAGGGTTAACTGGCATTGGGTGGAGGAGGGGGAAATCAGAGGTCAGCTCATGTTCTGATATCAGTGAACTCACAAGTTACTCCTTAAGCATGTGGTTTCATCCCAGGTTCTTCCTGCCAGCAATTTCTCACTTTAATCATACACCCACAGCAACCCAGATCTTTAAATTCAGCAATTCTTTCTCAGGTTTCAGCAAGTCATTGGCAGCCTGAGCTATTTTTGGGATATTTTCTCTACTGCAGATGCAGCTTAGGAAAACGCAGGGAGCATGCTAAAGACCTGCAGCTATTTGCCTTGTACAATTTGCTCATTTCTCTTTATTTCTCTGTTTTCCTGCACTCATCACTTAAAGGACAACCTTTCTTGCAAACAAAATCCCTGGAGCCTGATTAGAGGGACTGAAGGCTCCCAGACACGGATTGCCTGCCAGCCACAGCACGGTAAGGACATGGACACTTTTGGCTAGCCTTGCATTGCAGCTTTTTAAGCTTTGCTGAATGTTTATTTGTGTCCATCGCTTCCAAATCAACACTGCTGGCATGGCAGGCAGTCTCCAGCTCCCGGGCTCCATTTTCATTCCCTAAAATCCTCAGCACTTGTAAGTAACACATTTATACTCACCGTCTCTTTGTGTGTTTTAGAAATCAATGACTGACACTAATTTTGATCAGTTCTAGGGGTTTGGGATTTTTCTTTACATTTTACTATCTTTTGGACATCTGTGATTTGCAATCCTGATTGAAACTGTGGATATTTTATTGCCTGATCTTCCCTGTTGAAGGTATATTGTTAATTTTGGTACTTAGCTCAGCAAATTATTCAAATCAGGGAATGGTTTTATGTATGGTAGATGGAAATGTTATAAAAAAGCCCTGCTCCTGATGATTTACAGCTTTATACACTGCCTTCCTGTCTTGTGCTCTGGCTCTGCTTTAACACCTTGAGGCTGCTGGAGCAGTACACTAACACTACAAAGGAATTGACAGCATAAAACCAATGCAGCAGCCAGAGCTTTACTAAAAATGACTCAATTTTATCATGCAGTTATTTTATTTGCTCACAGAAATGCACCAAGTAACCCTTGCAAGAATGGTGGAATTTCAATCTATTAATGTACTTTGGATTTAGTAGATTCAGGATCAGGCTCTGAAGGTGGTATTTTTATTTCTAAAAGTCTCTTAACAATTTTGAGGCAATTTCTATTATATTATCAATGTTGCTTTGAACATAAGGCTGACACCTGAGCCTGGGTCTCTCATGCAGCTTGTGAGTCTGCCTCAGTTTCACTGAAATCCCTGATACTAAACTAGCTGAATGATAAATAGGTATCAATTCTTTAATCTTCAGTTCAATTTTATACCAAATCCCAAATGTTAGTACTCAGGTTGCTTGAAATCTTGAGATTCAGCACATTTCTCAGAGACCACAGGAGGAAAGATGGATGTGTCTTAGTAAAAGTTAGCAAAGTACTCAATTATTTACTGTTAACAGAGAAATTGTTATGTCATTAGGCAAGTTACAGAGCACACATGTAAAGCTAGATCACGCATTTCTCTCTCAAAAACCCAATGTTGCTCTCAGCACAAACAGAAGTCAGGTGAAGGAAGTTTCACCAACAGGACAGGTCTGTGCAGAATTGAATCTTTTGGGAATTCAGTGAGATAAACCCAATACAGGAATTATACCTGTACAGACAACCATTCAAGTGGTGCTCGTTGGGACTCATTTTAGAAAATGCTGTCCTAAATTGTGCCACTGATAAAAATTATTATTAAAAAGACAATGCTTGTTATCACAAGATGTGCAGAAAGGAAATAATCTGAATAATGAAAAAACAGATGACACATAACTGTTTCTTTTGAAAACAAACAGTTGCGTACAGGAATTCTCTGGAAATTTAAAACCTTGTCTTTGTTAGAGGAGAAATATGGACCATAAAGATTAGCAACTCTCCAGACCTTCCCCACTGAGCATACACTCTTACTATGTTAATACACTCGTTTTTTGGCATGCATATATACCAAATCAGGCACACACAAGATACTAAAAATTACTTTACTCTATAAATGAACTAATTTATAATTCAGCAGCAGCACTGCATAACTCGCACTTGATGATCCTTGCCTAGAAACCAGAACATAAAAAAGACTAATGGATATCAATAACAGCAAAGGCTGAAGTGGAACCCATGATGTAAAGAAACACTTGTTTTAGAGTCAGAATATGAGTCAAAACTTGGTTATTCCTCAGAATATCACAGAAGTGGGTCCCTCTAATTTTAGTGACATTTTCAGACACACTAAAGCTGCAACACGATACTGTACATCAACACAGCCATGGTAATTGGCCAGTTATATTCCATTCAGCTTGCTTGGTTTTTTCAAGTTTACACTATAATTTGAGCTTAAAAATCAGTATAGAAAAGGTTACTTGGTCCTGTACTACTCTGCAATTGGCTAGACTAAAAGCACCCATCATTTCAATGGCCCCACTGACATGCAGTAACTTACTACACTGCAACAATCTGATCAGATGGCTGAGCCCTTCATTAAAATTGAAGGGACAGTTTAATTTTTCCTGTCTGTCACTTTGCACCAAATTAATTCTATTAAATCCAGTTGAGGGACTGCATTGAAAGAGGAATCATCAACAAAGAGTGAATAGTAAAAGTTCCTCAAGGACTGGGTCTGAATTTTAATAGTCATACAGAGCAGGGCTCTGCAACAAAAAACTGACAAATTTAGTGGTGTGCTGGTGTATGTTGGGAGGCAGCATCGGTTTAGAGGAGGAATAACACAGAATTGCAGTAATAAGACAAAATGTAGTAGGAAATGAAGGTCTCATTGGAGGCAGGAATAAGCAGCCAAGGGGCAGCTGAGGTGAGAGGCTGCAGACCTGCATGTGAGGAGGCAGGAAGCCCTTGCTTGGGCAGCCCTTGCAGCTGGGCATTGTCTTCTTGGAGCTCTTGAGTCCTGGCAGCACCAGCACTCCCCAGCCCTCTCCCAGATGGCAACAGCAGGATGAGAATGCCCTGCAGCCTGTTTCTCTTGAATCCTCCCATCTTCATTTCTTCCCACATCATCCCACAGCTGGAGTAGGCCTTGGCCCACTTCTGGATCTCACTTCAACCTAAACCTGAGCCTAATAAGAGTTAGAGAAGCACCAGGGTAATAAGGGCTGCTTGGGAAGGCTCAGAGAGAGGCTACAGGGCCTGGACAGCAGGGTGGAAGTAGCAGAGGAATGAATGGAGACATCCTGGAGGACTGTGCAAAGAGACAGGGAGACAAACAGAAGTGCAGCTGCTTCCACCTAACACTCTGAGTGTAAAGCAGCCAAGAAAAAGACAAAACCATATTAAAGTACACCATTAAAGATAGAGATACTAGAGACAGTACAGCACTGATGGCATCCTATAAGTATGGGTCAGTCCCTAATTAAAACATCAGATAGTTTCTGTCACTCACAACACAGAAAGATCAATGTGTATCATAACAATGAGGCAGGAGTATGAAAGCTATTGGTAAAGACATCATCATGGAGATTAATTATTTAAGATGTATGAAAATGTTGGCCCAAGAACAAACAGATATAAATCAAACATAGCAATTAGAATTTGGAGAATACAATGAAGCAGTGAGATGGGAGCAAGAAACCTAATTATCATGTTTTTATGATGAAAAATGATCAACTACCAAAAGCAATGTCTGTTTCTGCAAGTTGCTGCAACATTATAATTGCTCCTGGACTGTTTCTAGGTCACTGCCATACATGTTAATTTAAGTAAGATACAAATCAGTCTCAGGGTGTGATGAATGGATAGGTGCCATAACTTACTTTAGCAATGTTGCTCCTTTTGACATCGCTTCTCTCTCTGTACAAAGATTAAGATAACAAATGCAGTAACATCAGCCTCTTTCAGATACTCAAATAAAACTAGCACTTAAAGAAGAATGAATGGAGCAATCTTGGCAGCTGTTGAAATTCTGAAGAATCTTGGAAATCTGTTATGAGACTGCATAGATTAGGGTACTTTGAATGTATTTTCAGTGTAAATAAGAACCAAAAATTAACTTCCAGGTTAAGTTTTTCCTCTATTTTTTGAAAACCAAGTTGATTTGACCATTGTAATTAATGTTACACGAATTTCCATGATAATGCTTTCTAGGCTGCAAGTTAAATATAATCCCTGATACCACCTTTTGGCATTTCTAGACATTGGCTTCAATTAAACATAGCTGCAATGGATTCCTTAGCTGTCCCCATCAAATATGTCAACCCTTTAGTCAGTTCTCATGGATATTTCTATAATCTTGCTGACGCTTGATTGACTTTTGTTTTACTACATATAATGATCAAGCTAGCAATCATAAGAAAGAGAATCACTAGCAAAGGCACACAGAAGTTATATTTATAATTGAAAGTCCAAGTCACTAAGGCAAGTCACTGGCAGATACTAATGATATACAGCAGCTCCTAAATCCAACTTACACAACTTATTATGCAACATATTTTCCTCTGCCATGTCCTGTTGGTAACTGAAGCCACTAACTTTATCTAAAGCTAGATAAAATATAAAAAACTCAAAGAATATGATATATCCATGCAGGAATGGTCTACTAAATATAAATACTACTTCTATCAAGGATAGAAAATGCAAGTAAAATTTGGCTCTCATTACCCTGCCTCACATTGATCCCTAAATCTTTTATGTTATGACTGTCTTTTTTGAGGCCAGACACAGTATTAACCTGTCAGTACTCAAAATTTGAAAGTTTTATGTTTGGCAAATAAAAACAAAAGGTCTCAGTCAGGAGGGAGGAAAGAGACTACTATCCTTAAGTATAAGAAAGCCTTCAGATAAGATATTGATCCAATCATATTTATGTCTAATAATTTCATCATTTTAGAGATAGATGGAAACAAACAATATCTCAGTCTTGCAGAGCATGCTGACATCACATAGCCCCCAGTTTTAGTTCTTTAATGTAGTTTGTCTGTGCTGGTGTTATTAATAGACACACTAAAATGGGAACTTCGCCCTGGCTCAGCTTTGACTCACTGCATGGCCTTGGGCATCACATAACCTCTGTCTCCAGTTCTCTATCTGCATAATGCATTTGTCTGTCTAGTGACTTTGCAGAGTCATGGGTCAAATAAATGAGTCACTTGACAGAATTTCTAAATTGAAATACACTGGCTTCTCTTCTGCACTTTTATAATATATTTCCCTGAATTTTACCATAAACTCACCTTTTTCATAAAGATAACAAAGTGTTTAAATAAACAGAAAGAAGAACTATTTAACACTTCCAAATGAAAACCTCCTTGAACTAAAAGAATGGAACCACAGCCACATAAGACAGCTTGTCATCTCACAGCCCAAAACACCTTTATGTGAGGCTTTATATAAAGTTCTTTACTGTCCAGGGGAGAGGGAAGA